AGTAGTAACCTTTTAGATATAGAAATAAATTGCACAGTGCTAAATAAAGTAGACACAACAGATTCTAATATGTAATAGCTTTGTAAGAATTGCTCTGAGAATGTACATTTTGAGGAAGTGTTGCAGAGATATCTAGCAAATGGCAAGCAAAGACCAGACCCTCAAACAAAGTCAGATAAACAAAATAAAAACAATAAAAAGTATGAGTTGCTTCTCTGTGAAAAAAAGCAATAGAAATGCAGTCTTCAAATAAATACAAGCGTCTGTATAAGCTTAGTTCTTGAATTTACCAAAAGGTTCACGTAGCACCTTTTCATCCCAACTACAAATAATTGCATCCAGAGAAAATTTAAGTGGCTCTCATTTTGAAAGTCCTCTGGCACTGCCAAGCACTATCATTTTTTCATATTATATCAAACTCTTATGTTATGTCCTAAAAAGTGTCCTAGAGCTAGATGTTCTTCACTTATGCCAGCATTTCACTCAAGAATAAAATAAACCAGGAGGGAAGGAGGAGGGGGGAGAGGGAAGTTTGTGGTCTACTTTTCCTAATGTTACTTTGTTTTGTAATTATTAGAAGCGTCACAGTCCTTAGACAGCTGCTGACATACAGAAAATAATGTCCTTGAAACTGTTTGTTTCATCATATTTTAAGAATTAATACCTTAGGTCATGTTAATCAGTTTCTGATATATGTAGTTTTCAAAATGCACTTCAGGGAAGAAAATGCTGGAAATGACTAATAACAATAAAGATATGAACTTTATTTGTTACATATCTAACTTCAAATGTGAACATTATCGAAGTACTTTGCCATTTGAAGTATTTAGGAAGGCTTAAATAAATAATAAATCCCTCATTCAGTGAAATAGAACATCCTCTTTTTCCAAGCAAAAGAGTTCAAATTTATTAATTTTGTAGCTATATTTTAAAATGAGTGTCAGCCCCTGCTAGATGACTGCATGATAAGTGTCCTGAAACTTCAGGAAAAGGCACTAAATTTTTCACAGCATTTGTGTTTCATTTTCAGTATAATAAAAATATGGTGCCCTTTTAATAATGAATAATAGATCTCCTGGTATGATTTACATGAGTGGATTAAATGTCATGTTTGAAAAGTTGCTGTTTTATTCATATTGAATTTCCCTCAAGTAAAACAAAATGGTACCCAGCTACTGTTATAATATTGCTAGTACCTCGCCACACTGATACATAAATATTAACCAGTTGATATACTCTTTAAAAATCCTCAGTTCTGTGAACTGTCAGCAATGGCATCTTTTCATGCATATGAACGGTTTCAGTACTATCCCAAATTCCAGGTGCACTGGAGAAAATGTGCAGCACCAGTGCTCACACACCTGTGGAGCTCACACCTCTTTTGCTGAAGTGCCAGTTTTGAAAGGCTCTCACGGAATAAGCACTGATGACAAATGGATGCAGCGAGACCGGGGTTAAAAACCAGTTTGGGGAGCTCAGCCCTGATGCAATTGTCCCTGTTTCTGTTCAGCAGTGCTGGACTGACTTCCCAGGTGACTGGACAGCGTAATGAATGTTTTTCTAAATGTCACTTGCAGGCAGCGTCATTGGCTTATGGTGCCCTTCGCAACAGCTGAAAATTTCCTTTCCGAACTTCCTATTCTGAATAAAAACTCCTCTTAATAGAAAAGTGTTTCAGAAATTGCAAATACTTGAAATAGGAGCATGTTCCTTAAAAGTTCCTACCCTGTAGGCAAATTTTCAACAAAATATTTTGGTCCTGACAGTTGAAATTATAGCTGAAAATTGTTGTTGTTTTTTTAAATAGAAGCATGTTTAACTACACTCCAACTTTTATTCCATTGAAGCCAATGAATATTTTGATTCTGAAAAGTGAAGATTTGTTCTTATTGTTGTAATTGTTTCATACAATTATTTTAATGTCTACTGAACTTAAGACAGCTAGGAAAAAAACCAAAACAAAATATACAAAAAAAAACACCAAAAAAAGCATTTTTCTTTTCTGTGAGAAATTAAACTTTTGCATACTGCAGCTCATTTGTGCTCTTCAAGTCATCACTAAGGTGAAAAGTGTAATCTGAACTTGCTAACAACACTGGGACATAATCCTGTGGAGTAGAACACTTCTTTGAATACACCATGATCAAAAGGAATTTACTGACTGCTTAGGTCTTATCTATAGCAGAATCTTAGCCACCATGAGACAACAATAAGGAAGTTATGCTTGTAAAATCTTTGTTCTAGTGTAAAGGTGATGCAGTCACATCTGTACAGGTGCTGCCAAGGACAACCTAGTTGCATAGCTGCCTTACTCTAGGCACAGTAAAGCATCTAATCTGCTTTCCTATCCTCCCCTTACTCAACTTTCATTCCAGATCTGAGAAAAACACAGCAGTGCAAAAATACATCTGAATTTTAGAAACAAAGCTTCTTCACCACCACTTAATCTATACTGCAATTTTTTAATCTCAAATTCACACTGAGTTAGTTTTATAATGCAGGTGAAACTTCAGAATAGCTCTCACTCTGCCTAAACCATACAGGCTTAATCTATCAAAGCCTAAAGCCCACTTGCATAAACTAAATACACGAAAATATGCTAGCAGCTGAGTCTAAAACAAGTTCCCTTCAGATCATGCAGTTCGTTGCTATTCATAAAATTGTAAAAAGTCATTTGAAACAGCAATCGTGTTTTACCACAATCCAAAACATTCATACATGTTTCTTTCAGCATAATTTAAGGAAAATAAATTACTTGTGTGACTGTCTGGCGTTACTGAAGGATAAATAAAATTCAACTGGAGCTATTAGGAGCCTCTGTCTAATATGTAGTCAGAGGTTACCGGGGGAGGTAGGTTGACAAACTAAAAAGGAGGACAATGAAGGAGTGGAAAGAGGGGAAGCTGGCAAGCTGGAGCAAAGAACATTGATTAATGAACAAAAAACATTTTTGAAAGGTCGGGTGTGCAAGTCAGACTAGCCCTGAGGCAGATCTAACTTACATGACCAGCACTTTCTGTACGCAGCAGGTAACCCACGCTGACACCAACTTTGCTGACATGACAGGGTTATTATTTTTGGAAGGATGTAGTGTTCTGGAACAATTTCTCTAATATATTAGTTAAAATTAGGCTTTCCTTCAATATCAAGCATGCATGTCTTCATTTTCACCATGTTTACACTGAACTCCTATTATTATTCTGGCTAGTGGAAACAAAAGCATATTCTTCATTTCTATTTCTCACACCATAATATATCACAGGGCAGCAGTGCTGTGTGTTCTGATTCTGTTCAAACCCAGATGCTCACGTGGAGCTCACTCACCACTAAGACCTCACTACTTACCCTAAGTCTTGTGTTAACCATATGAAATTTGCCTCATATCTCAGCACATACCCTAAGGGTTTCTTTCCAAACATACCTTAAGGTTGTGCATCACTAGCAAGGTGGAAGAACAGAAAGGTAGAGTCATCCAGGGTACAATATACGCTGTGACTCCAAATGGGCTGGTGGAGAGGGTTCTCTAAAATTATGGCATTAACCTTTTGCTGTACATTATCCAGTAATGAAGATAGGGAATTACCAGAAGGTCATTGAATCCAGCTTCTCCTGCTCCTGTATTTTAAGGGAACTTGCCCAATTCCTGCACTCCAGTTCACTAGACTAAAAATGAAATTTGGTGAAGATGCTTATTAAATGTCTCCTGTGAAGCTCCAAGAGAACTTTGAAGCAAATTTGAAAGTGCACAACCTGCAAAGATCTAGGAGAAATGAGATGCTGAATGTAAGAAGCAGGACATGCCAGACATTCAGTACTAGGGCCCAGTTGTCTCCTTCCAAGACAATACTTCAAGGCAAGTAACCCAAAGGGTGCAGCCTGCCTAGGAAGCAATCACAGCTCAGTGATTTCTCTGACAGATGCATGGATTTGTTTTAACATAATATGAAAATCCCATTCACAGTTTCCCTCTCTATATGTGCAATTCCTTTTGCACTGATAGCTGTATTTACAGACACTGTTCATTATCTATTACAGGTGATAAACAATTAAAAAGCAGAAAATGTGACTTAGCAGCACTTTATGTATAACAAACTCAACATCTGAAATGATCTATCTGCAAGTAACTGAAGGCATCAGTGCCACACATAAAAGTTGCTTTGCCTAAAAGCTCTTTGGGATAGGGGCTGTCAGCCTGTCCTGTATGTATACAACAGAACACATGGAGGAGTAAATCTACCATTCAGGTCATACCCCAAAATAAATGACTGAAAACAGAAAAGATTCCTCATTCTGCCAATACCTCATAATATGCACCAAAACCAGAAACAAACAAAACAAACAAACAAACAAAAACCGAATAAACAAACAAAAAAAAATATGAAGATTGTTTTTCAAACTGTAAAGAAGCTTTCACGTGCCAGAGAGTTTATCTGAGACCAATGTTCCAACCAGCACTAGGCATTAGCTACAACAGTGAGCAACTGACACACAACAATCCTGCCATGCACAGCATGCTTAGGCAGGAAAATATGTGTGCCTCAGTCGCAAAAGACAGAATAGAGCCTCAAGTGTTTGGGCTCCTTCCAAAATAATCCAAATGCTGCTTTTTTGGCAAATGGGGGTCAATGGAGCTAAAAACTCACAGAAGGATTTGGGCATTCATGTGTTTATGTACACCCACTCGTTCATTTATTATTCTAAAGCTACTTTACAGAAATCAAATTACATAGCTGACAAGCTGCATAGATAAGAGAAAATAAAAGTAAAATTTAAAATTAGCTGACAACACTATATGATGTAGCGTATGTTTGGCACCTTTAAAGTGAGTGATGAGGGTTAACCTAGGGGGAAAAATATTGCACCTTCCTAAATTGCACCTTAAATTATTAAATAAATTATTAACATGATGGAATGCATTAAATATATAAGCCTAAAGGAGAAAGGGCGGATGTGTTTTAACTTTCAAAGCAAAGACAGCATATTTATGAAGTGTTGCTTACTGTCTGGATGCTTTGTCCAAAGTAGATTTCAGTGTTGTAGAAGTTTCCACCGTGACTAACAGCCCGCGTCATCCTGGCCTGAGGCTGCTCCTCCAGTTCCACCAAGGCACCACCTAAGCGGCTGAGAACAGAAACTTTGAGAGTGTAGAGGCCTTTGGGGACTTTATCTTTGACTCCCCTCAGGCATCTGAGGTGAATTTCTAGTGGCTGTGGCATCTTGGAGCAGTCAACCTAGGGAGAAGGCTCAGAGTTACTGATCTGGGCTGGGCTGACTTTAACCATACAATTAGCAAGGACAAATTTCTTCCAGAAAATAACTACTGAAAAGCAGACAACACGCTTCTTGTTCAACCTGCAATTACCTACTGCTTACCAAGGATCTGCAATTAGGGAGGTCAAAAGTCATAGAGATGACAGATAAAAGAAAAAAACAATACAAATACTACTAATAAAATGTTCGGCATCCTTAGGGGGAAGGTGGAGCTGGTGGAGTATGACGCCAGAAGACACTACCCTACAATAATGAGGCAGAATTAACTGGAAAACAATATCTTAAAAATACAGCATGCTTCTCAAGACAGGCACAATACATGATGTGATGAGCAGGCTGCAGGCACACAGTGAACGACAGCACAGGCCATGTTTTCATACTAATTGCTAGCCTTGCCAAAGCTATTAGTGGTGTGTAACATGCAGACTATCCTTTCACCTTCTGATTATCATAACCAGATTCTCTTAAAAATAGTAATCAAAGTGCAACACGTGTAGAGTTTAATAACAACTCCCTACAGGCACCTTTATTCCAAGTCCAGACAAAAGGAAACATCTGCCACTTGCTGTTGACAAGATGTTGTCTGAGTTACAGAATATTTAGTATGGAATAAATGCTGCATACCAGAAATGCTTTTCTGGTGCTTCCCTTGCATGCTCAGCTTCCCAGTGTGGAGGTTTGTGCAGGGGAACAGGCACAGTGCCATGATCTTTACCCAACTTTTCCTGAATAATGGTATAGGGTCTGTCCCACTGCACCAGAAGATATTTTGGTGCTGCCCAAATGCAGTCTGCAGGGTCAGGCACACAACAGGGAGTCCCAGTTAGGCTCCAGTGTTGATTTGAATGGATAAAACTGTTTCTGCCATAACTAATTATGTAGTGCTTAAAATCAGCAGTGCTGTTCCCCTTTTCCCCTAGAAATCAATTTCTTGCATTATTTTGAGAAAAGACTAGTGCTAGGTCTTCTTTTAATGCAACTGGATATCAGAACTCATGCCACACTTGGGAATCACATGGCTACCTTGACTACTAGGTTTAGTGGTCTCACAGTTTAAGCCTACAGTAGCTAATAATCTCTTCTTTAATCCTGTCTTGGATTTATTTTGGAAGAGATAGCATATTTCCATATAGATAGAAAGCTTCTGGAATTAAATTAAGCAGTTAAATAAACAGTTGAATTTGTTAAACTTCTTTTGTTTCTCAACACAAACCATACTTAACAACTAATCTGAATGACAATTATTTTCAGCTTAATTAGAAAATCTTAATTAACAATGAAGATTTAACCTTAATATTTTTGGTTTCTGAATCATATATAAAAAAATTAACATTATATGAATAAATAAGACAATCTTTTTAAACCTCAAGGCAGGATTACTGATGCAGGCAGCCTTCGTTATTAAACACATTCTAAATTAAATGCCTCTATGAATTTTATACTGAAATATATTGTGATAGTTTTGCATGCCAAATGTGACATTTTGTATTTTAGATTCATCTTCTGTAGTAACTTTGGAAATGTCATACAAACAAAGATTTTGTCATTTACCAATGGAATTACTATGCATGGCCGGTTAGCCATCTCTTTTCTGGCTCTTCTGGTTGTTTCAAGTCAGCAAGCCATAAAAAATCTTTATCTCTCTGAAACACAGCAATTTGGAAGATAATCGAATAGTGACTGGGGGGCAGAAACGCCAGTCTGAGGAATTATACCACAATCTCTCTTGCATTTACAACCTTCCTCAAAGCGAGTGTCAGTCGAGTAGGAAAAGGAGATAGAAGATTCATCATATTTCAAGCTTGTCTCATTTGCATGGTGGCATAGCTGTCTCATCTCCTGCTGAAAGACTTTGCTTGGCCAGCGCTGACAAACTGTTTTGAAGAACTCTTGCCATGCCCAAATGATTCATCATTAATGGCTTTAGACATTCTCTTTAAGCATATGGTTACTTTTGCTGGAAAGCATATTTTGAAACCTGTTAAATTCTATCCTCTTAAACAATAAAAGAGAAAAAACAAAACAAAATAAACAAACAAACAAAAAAATTGAATGCAACTGATCCAGTGATTCAGCAGTTCATATGAGGGAAAAGAGCACTCATGGAGCATCTCACCTTCCCACAAGGTCCTGCTGCTCCATTTAATCCAGTATTCACATCTGCAAGGTTGCCAAAGCTGGCTACCATTTCTTCTTCAATTCCAATCTCCTCTGTTTTCAGTAGCTGACTTCCCACCCTGCAGATGTTAGAATGGGAAGAAGAATGGAAAAGAAATTAACTACAGTGCATACACAGAAAGCACTCACTGTTGGAAATACAACAGTTTCATATTTTCCTTGAACACATCATAAGACTTGCAGGGCACCCAGGAGAAACAAGAGTGTGCCAAAGAAGAGAAATACCTAGACTTCAAAAAGCAGCATTAAAAAAAAATAATGACACCACCAGTATTTGTCAGTCCATGCCACAGGTCGACATAAGGAGCCCCAGCTTTCACTGGCTGTCTGTAAGCAGCTCTGCCTGGCATTGGGGCTTAGGATCTAAGTTAAGAATATTTCAGTAGGAAGCCATTGCCTCTGTCACTTTGAGAACTGGCTGACAGCTTCAATAAGTTTTGACAGGTTTTTGGAAAACACTGATTCTTTGGGGCCTAGGTTGCTCTAAACCATTAAAAAAAATTAATTCTGCTTTTAAAAATCTTACTTTTTGTTGGGTTTTATCCCCAAAAAGTCTTGTAATTTTATATGCAAATCTTACATACTTCATAAATCTTCAGAATATATACAGGACGAGATCTATATATAAAAATTATATACATGCACATACGTATAAATTTTCAGAGGTATGTAAACCACAGAGCCTGGCTTGTTATTCACATATTAACTTCTTTTGTTTTTAAAGTGATTTGGGGGGTAATTATATCATCTCAAAGTTTCTGGGTTTTTGTTTTCGAAGAAAGTTCACTATAGCAATACAGGATACCAGCAAATAGTGCAAGAATAGCCCAACACTGGATAACCCAATGATGCCCTTCCTAGTGCAGAGGGTACACAAAAGGCACAGTACCCTATGGAGAAAACGTCATTCCTAGAACACAGCAGGAGAAAATGCAAAACTAAGTCATTTACAATGAGCACTATAAAGCTGCATGCTTTAGCAATCCCATCCCATCTTTCAGCAGACACAGAACCATGAGTAAGTCCTCTATTCCTAAGTGTCATCAGCATCTAAATATTACCAACCCTAAGTAAAAACATCTGTAGATGCTCTGCTGGCTTTGAAACTCGTCAGCCCTTGCTTCTACAATGGGCTTTAGGAGGCCAGGGTCAGTCACAGACAAATACATGGTGGCTCTCAGAAGGTGGAAGCTGAGCAGGCTGTTCATGGCTCAGGGCCAGCCCAGAGCCATGCTGGAGATCAAGGGAAATCTCTGCAGCTTCCTGAGAGGAGCCACATGGAGCCAAGGAAAAGACACTGCATCAGGTGCACTTGCAATGCAGGATTGACTTGGGTGTCTACAACACAGGCATCAGAGAACAGGCTGTCTTAGGCTGCCAAGCAATGCACTCAGTCAAGTCTTTAACCACAAAAGAAAATGCTATCACTTGGTGTTCATTAAAAAAAAAACAAACAAAAAACTCAAAACCAGCAACATTTCTCTGTACTGCATTTCTGAAGCATTTCTTCAGTATTTTCTGACCTGATTTTGAAAAATTCAATACAGGTGCCATCATTCCCATTTTCCTCCTTTGCATGCTAGGTGATTATATGAGACGTCTCCCCATTTGTAAAGATTAACATGGTTCTTCATTAAGAAAATAACAGAACCTCTGTAGTCATACTAAACATCCCAGACTCATGCATACATACTACTTATGTAACACAGAGTTCAAATTCCCCTCTTCTGAAACAGATGCTCCTGCCCCCAAGATTGTAGGACATTGTTACAAATCAATTTCTATTCAGACCTTGCCTATTTCTTTTTCTTTTTTTAATATGTACACATTTACAGTAAAATTACCACTGCTTCATAGTGAAACTGTTTTCCAGATTCCTCTGCAGTAGAATTGTATCACATAAATTCCTAAGCAATAACTGAATCAGTTGGAAGGTCTGTGCAGATGCTAGTGGAAATTAAGTACATGGACATTTTTCCCAAGCCAGGACTGATGAGAAATAAGGACAAGATTTAAGTGCCAAGAGGTGAATACATAAAGAACAGAGTCAATCACCTTTGTAGTTTTATCCCTGAGCTTTGATCACACCAACTTGGGTCCAGCTGTCCTAAACAGAAGTGTAGCAAAAGATGATTCTTGAATGGCTCTAACTAATTCATAGATCCAAAACATCTGAGAAGTTAAAGCATTCTTCTCAAGGAGAAAAGTTGTTTGGAACTTTGTACTTACTTAGCTTCTCATGATGGAAATTATTTCACTTAATTTGGTTAGAGTTGCATTGACACAGGGGTTCATTAGGATGCCCATTTGCTTGCAATTCAATTTAAAATTAAATACACTTTGTTGTTGATTTTATTACTTTTAAACTACTGTATCTATTGCTTTTATTAGCTGCTAATACACAATTATGAAGGTAAACAGTTTTCATTACTGAACATCAAACATTTAAATAACCACATTTGATCTCTTTCCTAGTTGCACCATTTTTCTCCTTTCACTGGGTATTAGATTGAAGACAATAATTTATTCTGTGAAGTTAGGCCTCTTTTGTGCTCAGCAAAATGCTCATCAGCTGTCACAGCAGAACATGGCTTCCTTTGCTCTATTCATGAGGGTTATTTATTTTGTCTGTTCATTTCTTTACAGGTAATTTGATGCATGTATTTATCTGAAGGTCATTGATCACAAAATCTTTGCCCCAATACATATTTTCTTCTATCTCTAAGACTAATTCAGAAGCAAGGATGAAGAATGCTGGGAAAAGTCATTTGGTCACCTTTTGAAGTGCACTGTGTGTAGCACTTAAAAAATACAGTCCAAGCTGGGTATCTGAAAACAGAGGCAATCCAAAACAGAGACCTCTTTCAAATGCACAGGCTTAATTTTTCTAGGCCTGAGATCCTTTGTTTGGAAGAAGTTCCATTCATTAATTTCTGCAAAGAACTGAAAGATCTTTAGAAGGAAAGTACACTGGATGGAATTACAAAGTAGCCCGTATCTGACATACCTTTGAAAGAGCTCATGAATCCTGGCTCCCCACTTTTGTTTCTTCTGGTGAGAAGCTCCCTTGTGCTTTGAGTCCCACATGCCAAGAAGATAAAGAAAAATCAGAATTCATTTTCAAGTGTACAGAAATAACATGGAAATAAAAGCCGTAAATGTGCAATTTTCCAAAGGTTTGCCTTAGGTCTTCTGGTTGAAGCTTTTCAGAAGCAATGAGGACTTTTAGCCACCATTACCTTATGACTTTTTTTTTCTCTAACTTTTTTTGGTGTGTTTTCCCATGTTTACTGCATTATTTCCAAGAGAAGCTGAGCTCTCATCTTATTTTAACAGACTTTTTTTTTTGGTCCAATGTATCTTTGTACATGGTAACGTCCTACAGTCCTCGTTATTACAAGACCTAGTTACACAGTCATATGTAAGTATACTTAGATTTATGTGTGTGCAAGTGTGTTTGTACACACACCACAAAACAGCACACAAAGCACAAAGCAGTTAAGCATAGACCAGAGAATTCACGTTTTAAAGCCTTGCTTTAAATCTGCTCCAAATCACGATGTCTTTCTTGCCTCACCACAAATATTTTTAAATGTTTGGTGAGAAGGACTGGAATTTTTGGAGGTTATGGAGGATAACTCACATGAGCAGTCCTCTCCCCCAACAGCTCTGCAGCTCTCCAGCATGAAGCTGGAGGGCTTCAAGTTATTTTTTTCTTGCACAGCAAGCTGAAAAAGTCTTTCCATCTAGAAGCTAGCATCAGCATCTATTAGGCTGTGTTCTCTGTGCAAAAACTCATGATAATAACTGCTGAGGGCTGTACACTCACAAAAACAAAATTCTTCCTCCTGACCTGCACTGCTCAGAGATCTTGCTGAATATTCAAGGGCATTTCTCATGTCTGGAGCTTCTTCTGGTGTCCCTGACACTGACAGAAAATGTGAATACAGCACCACCAATACAGAAGAAGGAATCCTACTGTGTGTCCTACACTATCACCTAAAAAGTGTGAAACTATGCTCTACTTCAACTCTCATACTATGCTCTACTTCAACTCTCATCAAGCCTCAAAGGCAAAAAGTAATTTTGGTAGGGAGACAATGCAACAGTCAATGGAGAAAAATTCCCAACTGTAACTCCATATCTGGCTGTTAAAATCTCTCCTTTCTTCCAAGTCTCTTAATTTTTTTGACAATTTTCTAGCTGTTTTCAAGGAAGCTTGGAAATGCCTGTTCAAAACTAAGGCAAAGCATCCTACTTATTTCCAAAATGAAAATTGTCAGAATGTAAAAACAGACAAAAACAACAAAAGCCTGTGCATGTAGCTTTTAATGTAACTTTTTTAACCCTGTAAAATTAAAGCAGAGACAACACGGTTGCCTTAAAGAACGGTGTGATTTGTTGGCAGTCCCAGCAGCCATCCTCAGACAGATGCAATAAATCCTCCAGGTCAAGCATCACACATAAACAATTGCAAAGGTGCCATGACTGAGCTAGCTCAAAACGAGACCTTCCAGCTGTGCATATCACATCTGTGTCGTGGGCAATGCTTCCTTCACCACTGCCCCTCCACTGGTGAGAGCCGAGCCCTCCTGCTCCTGGACAGCTTCGGGTTAAAATGTACTAAGGCTCTCTAGAGCAGGGCCCGTTTCTCTCCCATCCCTACTGGCACTGATTTTCTCTCGCCAGGCTGGTAAATCACCACCTACACTACTTTCCCAGGAAGGGCTGGGAGCTGGCTCTGCTCCTGCCTGGTTAGGGCTGTCACAGCCACCTTGTGACACTTCCCCAGCCCCACGGGCTGCAGCCACCAGGGAACATGTCCAGAGGTTTCAAGTTTTGGGCAGAGGCAGTTAAAGTTCAGAAAGTTGGAGTAGCGTTTGGTTCAATTCTTTTCTTCTGGACGCAGCTCTTGGTGATGTTTGTGAAAGCTATTTTTGAGGTGAGCACTTAGATTAAGAAATAAGATGAAATAGTAAACTCACTTCACGTAAAATATCAAGTAGCCATAACATTGTAACAACATTCAGACATTACCACTCCAGGTTTACAAGGAGCCAGTAGTAAAGAAGTTTTCTTTTAAAAAAATTGATTTTATTACCAGACTCCCACAGCTGTCCAATCTCCTTGTTTATCTTCCTAATCTTAATTAAATAATGAATATTCAAAAGAAAATATGAATCAGGCTTCTCTGTATAAACCGCAGTGTTTTCCATCTCTGCCTCTGAAGGGGCAATGGGAATATGATTTAAAACTATTTCTTCTGGATCCTAGTAAAATATTTGTCACAGTGTGTCATGATAATTTTTAAAAAGCTCTATCATCTACCTAATAAATTTGTTAAGTTTATTCAAATCTTATTGAACAGGAAAAGTGCAATGAGTCATGGTTAATATTTCTTTACCTATACTAAGAAAAAAAAATATATCAAAAATTCAGTGCTTAAGGTCCTATTCAGAAAATCTCTATGAGTCTGTAATACATCTTCTACATGATTAAAAAAACAGGAAACTTGCTTTAAAATGAATTATTCACCACCTTGAATAAATTTCCATCTTTCCTATTTGCAAAACCCTAAAGTCAGTTATGTAAATTTTAACCTACACTAATTACCTCAGGGGTGTGCAAGCTAAAGGAAAGTAGATGCAGTAGAAAGAAAAAAATATCCCAGACATTTCCATCACCAGGAAGCAATTTAATAGAGGAAAAAAATGTGTAAGTTTTCAAAAACAGAACAGCCCACACATATATATATTTTTTTAATGTGGAATAGTCCTTTCTGCAATATCCCTTGAATCAGAGCTTTACTGGAATAAACCAAGCGCTTTTTCTCAGTGGCATATACCATGGCACATAGCAAGGCGCTTGTTTCTCATCGTGACACCAGCATTGTCTAGACTGTGACAACGACCCATTGTTGGCAGCGGGCGTTCCCAATGAGGAGGCATGAAATGTGGTTTAGCTTCACGTCTGTAGAGACACTGAGTGCCCTCCAGAAAATGAGTGGCTAAAATCTGTGAACCGCTGCTCCGGGAGGTGCTGGGAAAACCAGAGAGTTGTTTGAAGGCAGAAGGGCTCAACCACAGCACCGCTTTGTCCTATTCCCCATCCTGATACCAGGCTCTGCTGCAGCTGTGAGCCAGCTCCTTCACACTTCTTTCTTGGTTTCTTCATCAGCTATCTTGAGGTCTAATTACACAAATGGCCCATCTACTGATTTCAGAGCTTGTCGTCAAGACCAAGGCTTGAAAAGGTCTTTCAGTCTGGGCTCAGCCTAGACACACACACAGTCGTGCACATTGTTCCTACAAAGACAAGAACCTGACTCAACACTACTAATCTGTGCTGACTGGTTCTTTTCAGCGTCAAACTTCTTCACAAATGGTAGGACCTGGTTGTATGGAACTTTTCAAAAAATTTAAAAAATTAAACAAACTCCCACCCAAACACATCCTTGAACACATCCTTGCTCTTGAAAGCAAGCCCACAAAATTCAGCAAAGCTTTGAAGCAAAATCAACTTGGCTTTTATTGTTCAGCAAAAATGGAGCATTTAGGGAAGACATTTACACACACACATCCCCCCTTTTTGGTCAGTCCTAGCAGTGGTATTACATACTTCTGCTGAGGAGCTCTCCCCATTGCAATTTAAAACAGTGAAGCACTGGCCGGGTGAAAACCATACTCCATGCAAGGAGTGCTGTAGAGTTCCACCTTCCTGCACATCTTCTTCCCCAGGTCAGGGTGCAACAGAGGCAGCATGGAGACACAACCTGTGGGGTCTCCAGCAGCCTCCCACCACCAACAGCAATCCCACATGCAGAGCTGGGGCTTCCCCTTCATTCCACTCCTTGAAACATCATGTTGGTACATCACAGTGCAGGTAGTGCTGTGGTTTTTTAGGATTAAATAGATGCCCAATTAAAATCTTTTAGTTAGAGTTTCCATCTCTGCATCCTAAAATGTTTTTCAGTGATGGAAATCTTGCCCACACTATTTTTATAGATGGGAGAAGGGAGAGCTCACCGAGCAAAACATCAGCAAGACTAGGAACAAAACCCAGATCTCTGGTCCCACTGGTGCCACCCAGTTCTCCCATTTACAGTCTGGCTGCTGTTTGGAGATTCATTCCCAGTGTCTTCAGTATCTAATGCACTGTATACCACAAAACAAGTTAAAAGAATGAAGAAACGTTTGAGATGGGGAAAAAAAAAATGTATTACAAGTGAAAAGTTAACATTCTTTCCAGGCGAAGTGAAATTCTGAGAGGCTTATCTGCTCCATGTTAACTTTAGAGAGATCACAGGGAAGGGAGGCATAGAGAGGTAAGTTAAATGAGTCCCCTTCATTGGAAGCAAAGACTAAAGGAGCTGGATAAGACCTGCTTTGAAAATTGCACTACCTGTTGGAATTTGTGTGACCTTGTCAAGGAGATGGCCACAAAAAGAGAGTAAAATTGTGCCAAACCCTGGACACATGGTAGTATTATTGATGGTGCACTCTGCCAAAAAATGCATCACAAACTCTTAGACGTTTTTCAAAGAGAAAGAGAAAACACAACAAAGCAAATCTTCCCTGACTTTCCTTTCAAATAGAAAATTAACTTACTGTTCACAAAAATCAAATTAAAAGCTTAGACAATGGAGTGTTTTGTAACAGAACACAAACTCTCTTTTAAAACTGATACTGCAGAACACAAAGTGAGATTTACTTTAGTCACGCTACAGCCCTATTAGACTGAGTGATACAGATACATTTAGTGACATTACAGGCTGATCATTTTGATCAATCTGTAAACCACTGCATTATCTCTAACAATGCAGTGAAGACTGAGCTACCAGTCAACAGAGGACAATAGCATTCTGCTATCAAGAGGAATCCTTTTATAAGAATATATATCAAAGACACTAATTGTGAACAGATATAGAAACTAGATCCAGCTGTGAAGTAGGTGTGATAATAAAGGACCTGAGTTTCCTCAAAACTCAGAGATGTTTTCATTCAGGATTTCAATCCAAGATGACAGGACTAAGAAATTAAAAGAGCTTGAATCATTTTGCTTATGATGCATTG